ATATATAAGGAGATAAAATACATGGTGCACTAGAAGTTTATAGGTGATTCGAGATATTCCAAATACAGATTATGGATCAAATTTAAATCTTTTGCATTCTTCATTTCACAATTAAATATTTTCTTGATTTTTTTCTCATTTTTATCTGAATATTTTTCCTAAAATACTGTTGGCAATGATAACATACTAATAGATCAAAGCGAGCAGTAGAATCCATGTCAGTCCCACAGAAATCTTTTCACGAATCATAACGAGATCGTTGGCAGCAAATTCTGCAAGTAAAAAGCTTCAGAGACGGTACATCGCATGTGTGCCTCACTCTCTGGCACGTGAAACGAGTTTGGAGGCATGGCAAGGAGACAGGAGAGCGAGGACGCCTCTCTCTCTCTCTCTCTCTCTCTACGGTAAGACTTGTAGGTCACCATCTTCCTGATAACAACAAGCCCCCCTTCACCAACCAACGAAGGAGACCAGAGCGATAAATTCCAAATCCCCTCTCTCTCGACACTGAGACTCGAAGGCTCACCGTCTTCCTGATAGCAACAAGACACTCGTTCCATGGCCACCAACCAACCAAGGAGACCGTAGAGCAACCTTCCAAATCCCGGCCATGCCCACGCTGCGCCCCAGCAACTGAAGCCTAGCATTGCACGTTCTGCTGCTCCTTCCCACCGGAGACGAATCGATGAGGACAATCTCCACATCCGGACGCTCCCACCGCCCACCCCATCCCTCTCTACTCACGGTTAATGTATTCCAAATGCATTTTGGCACCGAGCTTAGGAATGGTTTCAGCTCAAAACCTAATCACCTTCGACCATCCACATGGCTTCACCAGTTCCGTTTGTCACCTTGTGGTGTTGCGGGAGCGATGGCGGTGCAGTGAGCGCCTGAATCTGGTCCAATCGATCGTGGGTTACGTGCGGATAATGCCATATACAAAACCTGGGAGAACGTGGCGTTCGCTCGGTTTGATGCCTCCTCGGTCATGGAGAGAGCGTTGCATGGCCGGCACTCACCACCCACCGACACCATTCCGCCCTCCGACGAGGCCCTACCAACTGTTCTCTGATATGGTTTCTCGGAGCAACACAACACCTGGTTGAAAAGTTTGAGATGTCCACTTGCCACCTTCAGACCTTTCAAGACTTTAAATGATTAGAATTGATCGATCTCCAATCAAACCTTAGGGCTTGATGATGACGATTCTGATACAAAGCATCCATGCAAACAGATCCAAAGATGAACTACAGACAAAGCCAACTTCATCAAGGATCCATGAGACAGCCGATTGAAGCCATGTCACGTTAGATCAACAATATGGAGTAGACATGGACAAAGAAAACAACAGTGGAAGAGGTTCTCGCCATGGCACAGATTGCTTTCATTAAACAGGAACAGTAGTAGTCAAGAGAAAGCCAACATGATCTTCAAATTTCCTTACAAGACAAAAGAGCTGAACAAAAACAAGGAAATTTACGACATAACATGGAAGAACACCAAATTGCACATTCTGCTCAACAGCATCAAATCCTAAGAGGCATCCCTAATCTATCCAACCTGCCTGAGCCAGGATAAGCCTTGTTGGTGAACTTGGCATGCAGAGACGACGACTTCTGAGCTGCTACTGCCCCTGAGGACCTCTTCAGTGATCCAGACTTCTCATACTCCGGCCTCTGCTTCGGTGCGCTATGCGACCTCAGTTTCGCCGTCGAAGACTGCGTGTTCGCCATGTAGTTGGGGAAGTCTGCGAATCCACTGAACAAGCTCTGAGAGCCCTCGCCATTCGAGGGCGTGAAGGGGCCTTTGGTTGCGCTGCCACGCCGTGACGACGATGAGTAGTACTGCGGGCTTCCGCAGAAGCCCACTACCTGGAGCGGGAACCGCAGGGAGCTCAGACATTGCTGCTGCATGTTGACGGAGGATGGGCTGGGAATGGATTGTTGGGCAGCCGTAGAATCCTTTGATGGTGAATCCTGCACGGTGGTGAAACTCCGGCTGTTGTAATCCGAGGTCAAGGTGGAGCATGAGTACTGATGATGGTTACTCCTCTTGTGACTGAACTGTGGCTTTCCTGGATCTACTTCCAGGATCTTAGCATTCTTCTCATCGTCGATCGATGCAAAGCTTCCTGTCTTCCTTGCAGCTTCTCGACCGTCCCAGCACCTCTCCTCCACCCACCGATCCAGCCAGTTCCATGCAGCAGTATCGGGTCTGTCATCTGCTCCAGCATGCTTTGAGGAATTCCTCTGCACATAAGGGAAGCATGAAGTGATAGGTTGATTACTCTGCATCACTAGGTTTCCAGAGATTTAACTGGGATTACCTTGAGAGCACAAGACCCATCAGATTTCGTGGCACTCGATCGAACCGCTTGCTCATATTTCTCTGGAGTAGGAGGACCCTGAACGCGATATGATTTGCACATACAAATTATAAATAGAACGAAATTGCAAGAACAGAGGTCAGAGAAATGAGATCTAAAGCTTACAGCACGCATTCGGTTGCCTTTCTCAGACCCGTCCCTCTCCGAGCGCAAGGCTCGGCATGCCCGGGCTCGAGCCTGCACTCTCACCAGTGCTTGCATGCATCGCAGAGTCTCTGCAGCCTGTTTCCTAACAATGTTGCCTCTGACCAGTGCCTGGAGCTTCACCAGCCCCCTTAACGCTCTCAGTGCTCTCCTTGCCTTCAAGAAACACGAATGAATCAATCATGATCCATATGAATTATACATCAAATTCCGAGTATAATGGAAAGTCGATAGAACAAGTTGTCTTCCTCAGAATTCATCGCGTCAAATGTCCATTCTAACACGAGAAAGACCAGTGTTTCTGCAGGCGTTTCATTGGCAGTGAACAGAAACACAAGCACACAACACTAACTACTATAGAATGGGAGCGAAAAGGGTACAAATCTATGGATCTAAGCCCATCTCTAGCTATCACCACTACGAGATGCTATCATAAATGCCTTGGCTAAGGCGACAGGCATCATCGTCAGCAAGTCCCATCTTCTTATGAGAACCAGGAGATATTCCTCTGCGACGACGGCATCAATGAGCCAACCGAACCGCAAGGGATAGGGCAAGAGGTCCAAAGAAAGCAAAGGGAAATAGAAGGTCAAAAGAGTTCCCTGGTAAAGACAACAAGGAAATAGGAAGACAGACGTAAAGAGGCTCTGATCTGCGAAAAGGTTGCACCCTTGAGGTGACAGGAGCCATTACCGAACCAGCTTCGCGGCGCAAAGCTTGAGCCATGGGCTATAGCATGCAAGAATCCAAATGCTTGTTTACTGCGCCAATCACGGACGCCAGACACAAAAATGAAGAGAATAAGATCGGGGAAAAAACTATTCTTTTTCTGCAGATTCACATCAAAATTTCAACTTTTTAGTGTATACGGTCGAGAAAGGGGAAGAGCAGAGAAGGCCAACCAGGTAACCCCGGAAAGTAGACTGGATCTTTACGGCCGCCGACTCCTCCCGTTTCCCGCCCACGAGGCCCACCACGGTCCGCCCGCTGCTCGTCAGCCTCACCACCACGGCAGCAGCCTGCGCCGCGGCCACCGCGGCCTCTGCCACCGCCGCGGTCGCCGCAGCCACCGCGATGGCCCGCTTGCTCTGCTCCTCCTCGTCCACCACCAGCGCGGCCGTGCCGCACGGCCTCATAAGCTCCCTGTACGACCCCTTCCTCTCCTCGGACGGCGCCGGAGACGGCGGCCGAGGGTGGTCGCCCCTCCGCAGCGGCGAAAGCTGCCGCTCCTTCTCCCGGGACGACTTCCCGAAGCCCCACCTCCTCTTCTCCTTGATCCCCGCCGAGTGCTCGCCTGGGTTCGCCTTCTTCCCGCCCAGGAGCCCCCGGATCCACCTCGCGGCGCGCCCCATGTGTTCACCGCTCCTCCGCCTGCGGTGACGCCAGTCGTCCTGTTACGGTCCCCATTTGCCTATAATTCAAGAAAAGAACCAACATAAAACGAAAATCCCAATCCCAAACGCCGAAGAGAAGGGAAGATATCGAAGCGGCGGAGGAGAAAGATAAGAGAGTCGAGTAGGGGGTTCGCGACACCATGGCCTCTCATTTATATCATTTACTCCGTTACCGTTGTCATGTACCAAAAAAAATGAATGTTCCATAGAGAAGGAATTCTCACACAAAAGTACCAAAACGCCCCAACATCCGCTGCTTATTTTCGCCCACCGCATACGTCATACCACTGACCGCTGCTTCCACGACAGGCTACACAGGTAGGTTCACGTGGGCAAGACGGAACTGCAGGTCGATGACAGCGCGTTCCTCAGCCGTCTGATCGCGATCTGCATTCCGACTCCACACCGATCGGATCCCCTTCTTGTTTCGTTTTCGTTTATTGCGTACTTCCTTCTGCTGGTCACAGCAGCAGGCAGTTTTGGTGGTGACAGAAGGAGGGAGAGGGAGGGGGGATGGGGGAAGGCGTGGGTGGCAGATCATGCGTTCGTCTTGGCCTCGTCGTCGGACGCTCGGCACGAAGCTTTGGGATGTGAGCATCGACGGTGATGGGACGGCGTGGAGAAGGTTGTATTGATAGCTTATGTCTATACGGTAGGGGAGAAAATAATCATATGCTCCATGTTCTTATATTTCCTTATTCGAGTACATAAGTGGGATTAGCAGATACAAGATACTGCAATCTCATGGTTCACTTCATTGTTCTGAAGAAGCTACATACAAATTACAGGAGGAAAACAAGTCTTCGCTGATTTGCCTGCCACATTATCCTCTGGAGTTGATGGTGCTCAGAAAAGGCCTAGGCAGCCTGTCATTTTTATCTGTATAGGTCAGAACGAATCACCAATTTGTATATTTCTGCATGAAGAGAAACATCATATACACTTCTATGCTGATTAATTCTTGAGATAAAGTCTGCTCACACTTACAGGATTTTTCCTCCATGCCTCTCTTCCCAGCTTGCATCATGAAGACCGTCTCCAGTGCCTGCAAATATTCCATGCTGTTTCACCACTGCTCATAAATGTAGGTGAGCTTGTCAGTCAAAGAGCCACGAGTTGCAACTTACTGGTGCTTCTTCTTTGGCTTCGCATTTCCTTCTCGGGAAGCTTCGTGCTCACTGTCACTGCATGAATGGCTTCGAGAGAACACCCTCAAAGCCTGTTCAGTTTAGCTATCTTACAGACAATTAAGGAAAGAGAAGCATAACATGAAGCAGCCGATTCAACGAACACGTACGAGGTTTGAGACAGATGATGCGAGCTGTGGGCGTTGGCACCAATGAACTCTCTTTAACACTCTCGGCTTGTCCCGCACTTGATCTCCGCTGCCTTCCATCGTCTCCGAGTACTTGGCATTGAGCACCGCAGCATCACTTGAGACTGCAATGACACCTACAAAGGAGCCGTCTTCGTACAATGGAGTCTTGGTCACCATCGCCGTAAGCATCTCCCCTGACTTCTTCTTAAGTGCGAGTTGACCTGACCACGGTTGACCTCTGTTCAATTGTTCCATGACCTTTCCAAGGTGCGGATTGCTTCCTTCTTGAATCAGCAGATCCCCAACCCTTTTCCCGAGTGCTTCATGGTCCTTCCATCCATATAGGTTTTCTGCTGATTGATTCCTGCACGAGAAGAAGATAATATTCAGGTTCTTTGTCATGTGAAGTCCTGTGTGAGAATTCTATGTACAGCCCTGCTTTCATTAAATGAACTAAAATAGAAGCATACTTTGTGGCTAAAGCTTTGGAAATGGACCAAAGAACAAATAATAAACACTAGAATTAAAAGAACAGTAAGTTAAAGTGAAGGACTAATTAAACTGAAGGCTGGGGGTGGGGGGGGAGGGGGGGAGAGAGAGAGAAGCTGCAGTAGACCAGAAGATGATCTCGCCAGTGTCCGGGCGGTAGATGTGAAGGGCGTGGCCGATGTGTTTGAGCACGCTGCGGTAGGGGCCGTGGGCGAAGCGGCCGGGAATGGTGCTGCCAACCTCGCCACCTCCACGTCCTCTCCGACTCGTCCCAGGGCCAAGGTCATGAGCTTGCTGCTTTCTCCCTTTCCCCAGGATCAACTGCAGTTGCTCCCTTAGCCTCGCCTGGCTCACCTCCAAGTCCCGGAACCTCGTCACCAGATCCTCCAACGAGCCGCCCATCGGATCAGCCTGCGGCACGGCACTTCCTCGCTAGTGCTGCAGGTGAACTTGATGAGGTTGCCTCACCTAAAAGGAGGTGGAGACGTGATCGCGGCCCACCACCGGCTCTGCTGCTTTCCCGTGCCATCTGTCTTTGCTTATTTGGAGGACACCAAGTCTTGCTATGATCCCGGATTTAGCATCGAAGCAATCAATGCTCTTCAGCCACAAACTCATCAATGAAGCGTATCTCAACAGTCATAAACCTAAACCAATTAAAGAATCGTTCCTTGCCACTGCTAATCTCATTCCGCCTGTTTTCCGTGATGATGTATGCTTGACGACCTCGTGATGTTTCCTTTGACTTCTGCTGGTGCGCGTGACACAGTGCAGCAAACCCATTTATCCAATATCGAAGGCTTCAACTTTTTCTTCAAAAATAGAAAAAAAAATTCATTACAAGCTCACACGTGAACTACAATATCAGATTTATTAATTATATAATAATAAATTTAATCAACTTAAATATCTCAATAGAGATCGAAGATTCCAAATGTTATTCGATTATTTTTATATTTAAATATTAATCTAATGATAGTATATCTGCTCACTTATTTATTAAGAAACAAAGTTTCAAAATCTCATCCAACAAATTAGACTCTTCTACAATTAAGTTGAGAGTTAAAATCCTGGGCCTTTAATTTTTTCTTTAAGAAAGAAATAAACATACAAGGGAGATCTTGTAAATAATAATAATAATAATAACAATAATAATAATAATAATAATAATAATAATAATAATAATTTTCCTTCTGTTGAAAATAAGTTATTTGGAGTATAAAAAATTTCAAAAAAAGTTATTTGGAATATAAATAATTTAAGTTTGGAAAGAAGCGAAGATGCAAATAAAGGAGTGTGTTGTCCTATACATATCCAAGAATTCAATGTGTGACATAAAAAACATATACTGTGCTCTTGATTTATTTGGTAGATTTACATATGTTGAAAAGAATAAAAAATCCAGATTTAGGTAAGAGATTATACAGTGATTGATCTTTTTTCTTCTTGGACGTGGGAAAAGAATGTGGAATCATGTTAAAATCTTGTGAGATTATATATATATATATATATATATATAATTGATTAGTTTTCTTGATTGTTCTTTTGATATCATCCTCTTTCCCTATAAATTTCATCAAATGTGATTCTCTCCTTGTGATTTTTTTAATGTGTAGATCCATGTAGAACAACATGAAAAAACAATCTATATGGTGATATCCCAACGACTAAGGCGTAATGTAATAGATAAAAGGTAGAATCGTATAATTGCCAATACATATGTAATGTTTGAATATAAGGAATAAACTGAAAAGAAAAACACCAACAACATTACCCTAATTAAGATTTGTGTGGGAATATTAGGTTCTCCATCCTCTCCCACACAATCTCCATTATATATATAATTTAATATATATAATCTATTAGGATAATTTATCAAAAAACTCTAACAATGAGATTTTACCATATGAGGCCCCCATAGCTGATTTTTATCAATGGGTACACTTTTTTTTTCTTCTAAAATACCGTAAATATTCTTGAAATCGAGTTGAGCTATTTAATAAAATGGGATAGGACCAATCCAAGGGCTGGTTCGGTCTAACTAGGTTTGTGATCCGGGTCAAATCCTATGAAGTGAATTGGGTCATGTTCAAATCTAGGGGGTTACATGAGGGTTATATCCGTTGAATCTTGGATTTTGATGATGAAATCAATTGATGGAATAATTGATCTAATCCATATTATTGAAGTTAAGTGTGCAGGATTAACTATGATAGCCTGAAAACATAAAGCAAGTATACCGGAGTCAAGTTCGATGGACGCTTGAGAGTCCGAAGATTCATTAGAGATGCTGCCAGAACCAACCAAGAAGAAATCGAAGACTTGTCGGAACTTTCGGAAGTCCGCCGAAGAGATCGTCGAGGTTCGCGGAGATCACCGAGAATGCTCGGCTACTCGTTGAATTCGTCACAAGATTGGGAGCCTGTTGGAAGTCCGCCGGAAGAAATCCGAGGGCATATCGGAAGTTCGCTTGAAGATCGCCGGAAAGCTCGCCGGAACAAGACTCGACATTTGCCGGTTAAAAACTTGCTTAGGATTATGTTTTTAGTTACGTAATATGTAATTAGGGTTAGGATTAAGGGATAATCCTATATCCTGGTTAGGGGTCAACTGGGCCCGAATTTAATCTGGTTTGGGCCGAACTTGAAGCCCAACCAGTGATCCATAAGGACGGGCGGTGGAACCGTCGGTCTGGGCGGTGGCACCACCCAACACCCGAGATCAGGCGGTGACACAGCTACCGACAGGCGGTGACACCGCTAGTACAATGTTAGTGTCAGACACTGATAGGCAGTGGCACCACTAGCCTCGAAAACCCAAGAGAATTCAAAATTTGGAGCCCAAATTTAAATCCTCTTGAGACCTATAAATACCCCTCAATTCTCAGGTGAGAACACAACTTTTGCAAAATAATATATTGAGATAAGAGCTTTAGCAAGTCTTGTTTTCAAATTGCTTGAGTGTTCACCTCCTTCCTTCTTGTTGAAAAAAAAAATTGTAAGAGTATGAACCACTTATAAAGGTTGTAAGAGGGGTATTAGTCCTTCCCCTTCAAAGTGATTTGTTAGTGGAAGTTGGGAGCCTCATTGAAGAAGGCTTCGCAAGTGGATGTAGGTCATTTGACCAAACCACTTTAAATTAGCGTGTTCATTGAATCTGTAAGTACTTACCTTTCTGCAATCGTTATCTACATAGCAGCGAGTTTCCGGTTCTTACTTTACTCAAGTTACTATCAAAGCTAAATTTCTCTGCATTTTACGGAATCATTTTCAAACTTATAAGTTTTAATCTGCTGCACTAATTCACCCCCCCCTCTTAGTGCCGTTCCGATCCTAACAATTGGTATCAAAGCGAGGCTCACTCTCATATTTGGTTTAATACCCAAGAGAGATGGCTTACTCCGACATGCATGAGGGTCATTCTATAACACGTCCACCTATGTTTAATGGGTCGGATTACACGTATTGGAAGACTCGTATGAGGATCTTTCTCATTTCCATGGATTTCGAGCTTTGGACTATTGTCAAAAATGGATTTCAAAAATCTTCTCTTCCGATGAGCGAATGGAATGAATCGGAGAAGAAGGTTTTTGCTTTAAACGCAAAGGCTATGAATGCCTTGTTTTGTGCACTAGACAAAAACGAATTTAATCGTGTTTCAATTTGTGATTCGGCTTTTGATATTTGGAGAACTCTTGAGGTCACTCATAAAAGCACTAGCCGAGTGAAAGAGTCCAAAATTAATATTCTTGTGCACTCTTACGAACTTTTTCGAATGAAACCAAGTGAGTCTATCAGAGACATGCACACCCGTTTCACGGATGTCATCAATGGACTCAAAGCTTTTAGTAAATATTTTTCTAACTTTGAACTAGTAGCTAAAATCTTAAGATCCCTTCCAAAAAGTTGGGATTCAAAAGTTACGGCCATTCAAGAGGCCAAGGACCTTAAAACATTCCCTCTTGAAGAACTTATTGAGTCTCTAATGACCTACGAAATGACGTGTCAAGCTCATGATGAGCTAGAGAACCCCCTTCCAAAGAACAGGAAGAATATGACACTCACATCACAAGAAGATCACTTGAAAGGAACATCAAGTGATGAGGATAGTGACAATGACATTGCATTTTGACTCAAAAATTTTAAAAATTTATAAGAAAGAATAAATTTAAAAATAATATCATAAATAGACTTGAACATAAAAAGGACCATGTGATATGTTA